TCCTATGTTGGGTGCATATATATTTATAATTGTTATATCTTCTTCTTGGATTGATCCCTTGATCATTACGTAGTGTCCTCCCTTGTCTCTTGTAGCATTCTTTATTTGAAAGTCTATTTTACCTGATATGAGTATTGCTACTACAGCTTTCTTTCGATTTCCTTTTGCATGGAATATCTTTTTCCATCCCTTCACTTTCCGTCTGTATGTGTCCCTAGGTCTGAAGTGGGTCTCTTGTAGACAGCATATATATGGGTCTTGTTTTTGTATCCATTCAGTGAGCCTGTGTCTTTTGGTTGGAGCATTTAATCCATTCACATTTAAGATAATTATTGATATGTTTGTTCCTATTACCATTTTCTTAATTGTTTTGGGTTTGTTTTTGTAGGTCCTTTTCTTCTCTTGTGTTTCCCACTTAAAGAAATTCCTTTAGCCTTTGTTGTAGAGCTGGTTTGGTGGTGCTGAATTCTCTTAGCTTTTGCTTGTCTGTAAAGCTTTTGATTTCTCCATCGAATCTGAATGAGATCCTTGCTGGATAGAGTAATCTTGGTTGTAGGTTCTTCCCTTTCATCACTTTAAATATATCATGCCATTCCCTTCTGGCTTGTAGCGTTTCTGCTGAGAAATCAGCTGTTTACCTTATGGGAGTTCCCTTGTATGTTATTTGTCTCTTTTCCCTTGCTGCTTTCAGTAATTTTTCTTTGTCTTTAATTTTTGCCAGTTTGATTACTATGTGTCTCGGCGTGTTTCTCCTTGGGTTTATCCTGTATGGTCTGCACTTCCTGGATTTGGGTGACTATTTCCTTTCCCATGTTAGGGAAGTTTTTGACTATAATCTTTTCAAATATTTTCTCGGGTCCTTTCTCTCTCTCTCTCCTCCTTCTGGGACGCCTGTAATGCGAATGTTGTTGCGTTTAATGTTGTCCCAGAGGTCTCTTAGGCTGTCTTCATTTCTTTTCATTCTTTGTTCTTTACTCTGTTCCGCAGCAGCGAATTCTACCATCCTGTCTTCCAGGTCACTTATCCGTTTTTCTGCCTCAGTTATTCTGCTATGGATTCCTTCTAGTGTAGTTTTCATTTCAGTTATTGTATTGTCCATCTCTGTTTGTTTGTTCTTTAATTCTTCTAGGTCTTTGTAAAACATTTCTTGCATCTTCTTGATCTTTGCCTCCATTCTTTTTCCGAGGTCCTGTATCATGTTCACTGTCATTATTCTGAATTCTTTTTCTGGAAGGTTTCCTATCTCCACTTCATTAAGTTGTTTTTCTGGGGTTTTATCTTGTTCCTTCATCTGGTACATAGCCCTCTGCCTTTTCATCTTGTCTGTTTTTCTGTGAATGTGGTTTTTGTTCCACAGGCTGCAGGATTGTCGTTCTTCTTGCTTCTGCTGTCTGCCCTCTGGTGGATGAGGCTATCTTAGAGGCTTGTGGAAGTTTCCTGACGGGAGGGACTGGTGGTGGGTAGAGCTGGCTGTTGCTCTGGTGGGCAGAGCTCAGTAAAACTTTAATCCACTTGTCTGTTGTTGGATGGGGCTGGGTTCCTTCCTTGTTGGTTGTTTGGCCTGAGGTGATACAACACTGGAGCCTACCTGGGCTCTTTGGTGGGGCTAATGGCGGACTCTGGGAGGGCTCACGCCAAGGAGTACTTCCCAGAACTTCTGCTGCCAGTGTCCTTGTCCCTTGTTGAGCCACAGCTGCCCCCCTCCTCTGCAAGAGACCCTCCAACACTAGCAGGTAGGTCTGGTTCAGTCTCCTATGGGGTCACTGCTCCTTCCCCTGGGTCTCGATGCGCACACTACTTTGTGTGTGCCCTCCAAGAGTGCAGTCTCTGTTTCCCCAAGTCCTGCTGAAGTCCTGCAGTCAAATCCCGTTAGCCCTCAATGTCTGATTCTCTAGGAATTCCTCCTCCCGTTGCCAGACCCCCAGGTTGGGAAGCCTGACGTGTGGCTCAGAACCTTCACTCCAGTGGGCGGACTTCTGTGGTATAAGTGTTCTCCAGTTTGTGGGTCACCCACCAGCAGTTATGGGATTTGATTTTATTATGATGGTGCCCCTCCTACCATCTCATTGCGGCTTCTCCTTTGTCTTTGCATGTGGGGTATCTTTTTTGGTGAGTTCCAGTCTTTCCTGTCGATGATTGCTCAGCAGTTAGTTGTGATTCCGGTGTTCTTGAAGGAGGGAGTGAGAGCATGTCCTTCTAGTCCACCATCTTGAACCAGTCTCCGTGTGTGTGTGTATGTTTGCATTAAGAAGTTTGCCTGTCACCCTCAAAAGGCCATAGGTGCCCTGGGTGTGGGTGTCAGGAAGAGGAAACAGAATGGGCCACTGAGCAGCCTCTTGTTTTGGCCTCTAGCTGAAAGCAAAAGAAGTCTTCCCAGGTCACATTAGGTCCAACCAAGCTCTCCTAGAGAGAGATCGTATAAAACTTTGAGCCACAGGCCTGGCAGAAATCCAGATCCATGGTTCCCAAACATTTATGTGGAGCATGTGTTAAAACACAGAATTTCTGATTCAGTGGGTCCAGGATGGGAGTGCAGAATTTGCATCACTAGCAGGTTCTCGGAGGTGCTGATGCTGTTGGTCCAGGGTCCTCACCTTGAGAACCTCTGCTCTGGAGGGCTCCCTCACCCCCTCCCACCACCCAGGTGCACCCTTCCTTGGCCCTGGGTACTTCCCGGGCCTTACTGTAGTGACTTGCTTAATTGTCTGTGATCTCTCGAAGAATGGCATGTGCCTCTCTTGGTCACCACTATATCTGTAGCACCTAACACAGTGTCTGGCACATCATGGGTACTCAATCAATACTTGTTAAATGAACAAGTACATTTGCCCGCATGTCCTCTCTGTGCCATGGGTCCTACAGAAGCCTAGCGCAGAGCTGAAAGGCCAGTCAAGGACTCACCATGTCTCTTTCCTTAGACTTGACCAAGGAAGAGGCAGGCCTCGCAAACTTGTGTTGTCTGGAAACTCATCTGGCAGCAAAGTACTACAAGTAGGCAGATGCACACCTCCCGCTGACTACCACTGGGGGCAGGGCTGAGAGATGATCAATTCAGCAGAGTCCTGTAGTGGGGCAGGGGCTGGGTGTTTAGCTGTGCTGACACTAGCTGGCACGCGTTGGAATTTCCTGGGTACCATTCAGTGTCCCTGGCCACACATGTCAACATGCACCTCTACATATTGTAGTCTGTTTCCTGAAAATACGAGGCTCCCTGCTTGTGGAGCAAGCTTGACCAACGTGCAGGCAGACTGGAAGTCAGAATACCCCAAGAAGCAGCCCTCGACCAGCAGTGAGTGGGTAGAGATTTGATGGACACATGCTCAGTTTCCTCACCCCTCCGGCCGCCCCAAAGTTGGGATGACTCTGAGGGGTGTCCTAAGTTCCCTAGTAGGACCAAGCTCCTGGCTCACAGCGGCACTGGCTCTCTAACACCCTCTTCATCGGCTCCTTCCCTTCCCCGTCCCACTTTCCCCTCCCCTGAAGTGTTACCTGGGATCCCCTGCAGTGTTTCCTGGGATCCCCTGCAAGCACATTACTGGAATCTGCATCAGGGTTGGAACCTGAGAGATTCTAAAGTAACACAGGCATTTTTAATGTCTTCAGCAGCACACCGAGTCATGCATTCAGGTGTGTGTGTGTGTGTGTGTGTGTGTGTGTCTTCATTTAATCCTCTCTATGAAGTAAGTATTATTAGCTTTGTTTTACAGAAGAGGAAAGAGACACTCAAGAGAATAAATAAATAACACGCCCAAAGTCAGTAAAAGGTGGACCTGGGATCTGAATGCAGGACTGTCTGATACGTGAGGCCCATCACTGTTGCTCCCCTCACGCCAGGCCTGGTTTTTGCATCAGGCGGCAGGTTCCAGGCTCGCCCGTAGCTGTCTGTCAGTCTAGTTACTTTCTGCCTCCTGCTTCCTCCATCTCTCGAAGATGGGCTGCCGAAGAAGGAAGACCCAACCCCAGAAGACTCACGGAATATTGTACTGAAGGGCCCACTGTCACCTCGTCTGAAGTCTTCATTTTACAGATGAGGGAACTGAGCCTTGAGGGACAAGTGACATTTTCAAAACACATTCACATTTGTGATTTCTGAAATGGGCACTTTTGCAGCAATCCTGTGGGAAAGGTTCGAGCACCCCCATTTTACAGAGAAGGAAATGGAAACCCAGAGGGGCACAAGCGCAGTGGCAGCAGGAGCTGGTAACTGTGGGGAGAATCCTGACAGGCCTCGTGCGTCAGCCACTTTTCCGGGTGCCAGGCACTCTGTGACGCTTTCCACGTACAGGCTGACCTCACGCATCCTCCTCTGAGCGCTAAGTATTCAGTGTTCTTCTTTGATGGAGTGGTATCCAAGGCTTCAGAAGACACAGTGATCCATCCACATCTCAAGCAGAGAGCTTGGGCCACTGCGTAAACCAGGAACCCAGCATCAGAAAGGGACAGCCGAAACCCAGCCAGCAGACCTGTATTCACTCCAGGCTGGAGGCTCCTCGTGGTAAAACCGCTCTGTGGGGCTGTGGGGCAGAGACTGGGGAGCAGTCACTGGCACAGGCACGTAGGGGTGCCAAAGGGAAGCGGCCTCCTGCCTGTCTCAGGCTGAATGAGCCGGATCGTTTTGAGGAACAGGACCCAGGTTTCCTGTTTAAATCCTTCTTTTGCAACCTTAAAAAAAAAAGACTGCTAAGTGAGGGCAGGAACTCTGTGCCCTGACCCCGTACCATACACATTCCCACCCTTCTGTTTGCTTCACCAAGTTCTGGGAACACCTCATTGCCACCCACCTCACCGTGCTCAACTCCACCCATTCCCCTTAAGGCACAGAGCCCAAAGAAGAAGTGAAGCTGAGTGAGCAGAAGAATACCTCAGAGTGCATTTGGCCTTCAGGAACTGGCCACCAGTCGGTGTTGTGGCCATTCGTGGACACCCAATGTACAAGAAAGAAGAACGTTGTCCCCTTCTTGTTGTTCTGAAAGACTGAGACCCCAAGTTCTATCTCCATCATCACACTGGAAGCTGAGGACTTCTGACTCAGTCAGGACCTTGACCTTGAATTCATAAAGATTCTAAAAGCTCCAGAGACAAACGCTTCATGGACACAATCCCCTGAAACCAGTGTAAGTGGCACTTGTCTTTCCTGTCCATCAGTCACTGTTGAGGGCAGTGTTGTTTGCATGTGGCCAGGTTGGACTGTAGTCCTTCTTCCATTGCAGGAGAAGACTTTTTTACCTGGCTGTCTCCTCAAAGGTGGGGAATTCTTCAAAGGCCAGGCAAATGTGTAAGTAGCCCACCCGTGCATCTGTAAGGCAATGAATTGTATAGCAATACTGAGGATGGAAGGATTTATAAGACTGGGTGCTCAGATGTAAAATAGGTTGTTTTTTTGTTTCTGGGAGGTTTTTGTTTTTGCTAAAAACAGGATGCTTTCTTGTATGATTGGTTGTTGGTGAATTAAGAAAGTCAGCCCAGTATTAAGGGACAGGAGGCACTTTCTCTGGAAAGCTATTCAAGACACTGACAGTTGCCAAATTTCCCCACGTAAACAAAACCCAAACGTGGGGTAAGAAGAAATTGTAGCAAAAGGGAAGTATTAATTAGAAAAACTTTGCAGTTGCAAGGACGATTTGATACTGAGACAATTTCTTAAGAAGACTAGACCCAAGGATCCTCAAAATCAGGACTGTGGGATGTCTTTGGAGGAGGTAGGATTTCACCTACGGGAAGGCAGGGAGCTGGCCAGGTAACCTCCTGGGAGGCATCCATTCTGTTCTAACAAAGAGGCAGGTCAGAATTTGGTTCTGAAAATACAGGGACATGGGGACTACTTGGAGGTATTTACTTCAACCTTTCCTCCTTTAAATCTGGAGGGTCCCAGACTTTCAGAATTAGAAATTCCCAGAAGTTTGCATAGCCTGCCCCCCAGGCTGTGTGCCGCTCACTGACCCTTTAGCTGGCTCACAGGACAACTGTAGGCTACTCAGACTGCAGGGCATTGATGTGCTGGTAAATGTTTAATAGCTGACTCTCCTGAAAAAGTGCCCTGATAGCTAGTGTTTCCTGATTTCCATGTGTAAATATTCCTATTCTGGTTGACTCCAAGCTACCAACATGCTGAATACACACTGCTGGCTCTTATGAATTCGTGTAAGGCACCTCCTGCGCGCCACCAGGCCAGGGTATCTTCTACCATCACAGACTGCCCTTTGTCTGTTCAGAGACTTCCCCAACTCCGAGGTTAAAGGATGCTGGCACTGGAAAGTTCCAGGCTCCAGGGCTGCCGCTGAGCACTAGTGCAGTGACCTGGGGCAGGCTTTTGTAGCAGACTGCAGCAAGGCTGGCACATGGCATGGCAACATGCTCCTTTGGTCTCTCCTCCAAGGCCTCACCGCAGCCCATCTCCCTTTAGGAGCAACATACTCTGGAGCTGTTGCCTGCTGCCTGACACGTTGGGGAAATAGTGAATGGAGTTGGAGGTGGGGAGTGGTAGGAAGGTGACTCTCTGTTCAAATGGCACCTGACAGTGCTGACTCAGTTTGCCTTCACCTTTGCCAAAATTCCCCAGAAACTGGGCTCACAGGCTCAGCCTTGCACCCCTTGCTCACCGTGCTGCCTGCTGCTAACACGGTAAACCTGGCCGCTCACCCACAAGTGCTGACTGCCAAGCGGAGCTGTCAGCACTGGCAGTGGCAGCAAAAATCAGAAATTGCCAACACAGCGTGTTTAGTGACTGGCAGCTTAGGCTCCTCCAGAAAGAGGCTTGACCGGGATATGCAAGTTCGGAGATGGTGGAGTGAGCCATAGGGATGGATTTGATGGGAAATGACAGTCCCCCAGCCAGGGTGCCCAGCAACCCACCCCCCACCCCCCAGCCCCGTGTGCCTTAATCTCCGAATGCCACCGTGGAAATGTGAATTTTGTGAGCAGGAAACATTCATTAAGCACTGTAGAAGGAAGAGCACTGGAGACTCCAGCTTCAAGATGGGAATTATGATGTAGGTTCCACTCACTTTACTGATTGGTGTTTAGGTCAAATCAATTTAGATTGATGGCTACATTTTGGAAATTTCAAAGTGTAGCACAGATGGAAGGGACTGTCAGTGTCCATCACTGTCAAGCAGGATTCATCTTCCAGATTAACTAGAGAGACCTGGTAGGGAGTGGGGTACATTGGCCAGAATAGGATTGAAGCCTGGGACATTCCTGGTGGTGCTGGGCCTCAGAACGGGACCCCTGCAGGGAAGGAGGTCCCCTAATATTTACTGAGGGCACGATAATTGCCAGGGGATGGCTCAGACTTTGCCTTAGAGTAGCCCTGCACGGTAAGGCTTACTTTTCCACATTACAGATGAGGAACGGAGGCTCACAGAGGTAGGTTAACTTATCCGAGGTCACAGAGCCTGTAGGTTACACCAAAGCCTGTGCTCCCTTTGTGGAGGCGTCTTCAATAAGTGATTGGAAAGGAGTGCTAAAAACAGGGTCTGGGGAAGTTCTACAAAGGCACGCTATCTAGTGGTTTTTTTCTTTGTTTTGTTTTGAGGCAACCCTGGTTAAAAATATCCAAAAACTTATTTTAGGAGAATTCCAGCCTCTGTCTGGTCACTGTGTGACACTTCCTGGCTTGGGGCTGTTCTGAGCCTTTCTTCCCCCAAAGCCCTGTCTTCTCCATACCATGTGACCCCATTCCGCCTAGCCTGTGCTTTCCTTGAATCCTCCTCACGGCTATCACAGGAGGTTACAGTGTTACCTCGGTAACCTCAGAAGACCGTGTGACGTGGGCCAGGCTGGGCCCACTCTTGTGTCCTCACTGTCCCCATCTGCTGAGGGATGGGTTGACCTTCTAGGATTTCACTATGGCTGCACTACTGGTGTTTGGTGTAGGGTAATTTTTACATTACAGGACCTGCCTACCAAATGACAGTAGTGTCCCCCAGTCTTTGTGACGACCAAAAAAAAAAAAAAACAAAAACACATTTTCATGTGCCCCCAGGGCACTGTGTCACCCCTGGCTGACAATCTTTTTAGCCCCAAAAGCCATAAAGATCCGTTTGTAAGTTTTTGACTCTCAGTCTTGACTCCTGGGGACACCGTGGTACAGAGTCAATGCTTGTGATTGGGGGCAGGAGAGCCAGGTGGTTTCAGGAATGGGCCTGAGAGGTACACACCTGTGTTTGAGCTCCAGCTCTTGTTCTCACTACCTTTGTGCCCTAACTACTCCCAGTTTGTGTGTCATCACCTCTAAAATGGGGAATGATAATGGTACCCCCTCAAAGGTTGTTTAACACTAAGCCCAGGGCCCAGTTCATCGGAAGCACTGGGGAAGCACTGGTCATGAATAGTGTGGTGAGGCCTCCCTTTGTCTGCGCTCTCCATCCACCGGACTTTTCCTTCACAATGTGAATACGCCTTGTTTATTAATGTGTTAGACGACCAGTTGCATGAGGGCAGAGAGGACCTGGGTCTCCCTTGCTCAGCAGGGCATGGTACACAGTAGGCACTCGGTAAACAGTTGCCAAGTGGTTAAAGACATATAATCACTGCCTTGTTCTTGTTACCCAGAACCCACTTCCTTTAATAGCAAAGTAAACACGGAAACCATTTCCCTTGACCCGTGGGAGAAGCCAGGATGGAAACTTCCACCGCCCCAAAGAACTATGACATGACCACAGAATACGACTATGGAGACGCAACCCCGTGCCAGAAGGTACAGGAGAGAGCCTTTGGGGCCCAGCTGCTGCCCCCCTTGTACTCAGTGGTATTTGTCTTTGGCCTGATAGGCAACATCCTAGTGGTCCTGGTCCTCATGCAATACAAGAGGCTCAAAAGCATGACGAGCATCTACCTCCTCAACCTGGCCACGTCTGACCTGATCTTCCTCTTCACGCTGCCCTTCTGGATTGACTACAAGCTGAAGGATGACTGGGTTTTTGGTGATAACATGTGTAAGTTGCTCTCTGGGCTTTATTTCTTGGGCTTGTACAGCGAGATCTTCTTCATCATCCTGCTGACCATTGACAGGTACCTGGCCATTGTCCATGCTGTGTTTGCCCTGCGGGCTCGGACCGTCACCTTTGGTATCAGCACCAGCATTGTCATCTGGGTCCTGGCCGTCTTGGCTTCTGTCCCGGGCTTGTACTTTTCCAAGACCCAGTGGGAGTCCACTCACTACACCTGCAGTCTTCATTTTCCTCCTGAAAGCCTAAGAACGTGGAAGCAGTTCCAGGCTCTGAAACTGAACATCGTGGGGCTGGTGTTGCCTCTGTTGGTCATGGTCATCTGCTACACAGGGATTATAAAGATTCTGCTCAGACGACCAAATGAGAAGAAGTTCAAAGCTGTGCGTCTGATTTTTGTCATCATGATCATCTTCTTTCTCTTTTGGACCCCGTACAATCTGACTGTGTTTGTTTCTGCTTTCCAAGACTCCCTGTTCACCCATGAGTGTGAGCAGAGCAGACAGCTGGACCTGGCCATACAAGTGACGGAGGTGATCGCCTACACCCACTGTTGCATCAACCCCGTGATCTATGTCTTTGTCAGTGAGAGGTTCCGCAAGTATCTATGGCAGTTGTTCCATCAGCTGGTCGCCGTTCGCCTGGCTAAACGGCTCCCCTTCCTCTCCATGAAGAGGCTAGAGAGGGTCAGCTCCATGTCCCCCTCCACCGGGGAGCATGAACTCTCTGCTGGGTTCTGACTCAGGCCCCTGGAGGCTGACCCAGGACCCAACAAGAGTGACCTGCCTGGCATGCCGGCTGGGGAGGAGGCAGCTTGGGTGTCCTGGCCAGATTATGATGCCTGACGCAGATGGAATGGTAGCCACGTGAGGTTGAGGGAGCTCCAGGTGCTCCAGACCAAATCACCTCTGGGGCTTGAGTTTTCTCTGTGAACTTCCCTTTGGTAGAAAGGAGATGAATAAATGAAACGGGACATTCCAGAAGACTGGGACAAAGGATGACCAAGAAGGGCTTGGTCCCAAACAGGAATTCAGATTTGTGAACTTTAACATTTGTAAACCAAACCACTGAGCATCTGCCACCCTTGCCCCGTCACCAGTGGACTTGGAAATAGTGATTTCCACCACGGACTCCACTCTGAGCCAAGAGCCAGTCAGGAGCTGGCGGCTGCCTCCGCCCACCCACCCCACTCCCACTGCAGGGTTTAGGCTCTTAGAAACCCTGAGGAACCTAGGACTCACGATGGAAGAACTTGACATCTGATGGTGGGCTGGACACAGACAAAATGTATAAAATGCTGCGCTTCTTGAAATAGCCAGGGAGCGGAGGAAGTCATTACTTCCATTTAGCATCCCTTTCTTTCTGAATATTTTTCAGAATCTCCCTTCCCTGTAAGTTGAGGGATGTGGTGGTAAATTCTGACAGCTTTATTGCAGAAATTATTAACAGGCCAAAGGAGACCGGATTGCTTTTCTTCCTCTTCGTTCTCCATCCAGACCTTTTAGTTGTGTGGCTCAGAGTTTTGGCAGCCACCTTGCACACATCAGCAGAACAGGGACCTGGTGTGCAAGCTGATGGGGTTTGAGGCTGGGAGGGTAACGTCTACCAGGAAGGGTGGGGGCCCTGTCGATGTAGGAAGTCGAGGAGCCCTTAACTCAAAGAAACTTATTCACCCTAAAGGTCCTTAACGCTTCAGCTCTCACCTGAAGTGCGGTAGGACTTCCTATCCATTATGTCTTCTTCCCTTTTCCCTCAGACATAGATTTCTTTTAAAATAATTTTCCCAGTAACAAAAATTGTTTTCTAGAAAAGCTTAAAAACACAAAGGGAAAAAAAAGCCATCAAAAGCATTCATAATCCCCCTACCCAAAGACAACCACTGTACATTCTTTGATGTATTTTCCTTCAGTTTTTTTTTTCTCCTATGCATATCTATGTTCATGAGCAAGATGGACTTCAGCTGTATTTACTCTTCCACTGTTGTTGTTTTTAAGTAGCAGTATGTTGGGAACACTTTCCTAGGCAATAAATTATTTCAAAGTATTGGTTTTGGTGCCTGCACTGAATTCTACCACAGGAATTCACCCTAATTTACTCCACCTACTTCCCAGTGATTGCTTGTGCAAATCAATTCAGTCCAGCAGCAGTGACTAAGGGACCTGCTTTGTTCAGAGCCAGCTCTTTGGGACCTGGGAGACATGGATACAAGAGGGATGTCTGTTCTCACAGAGCTGTCAGTGCAGTGGACGGGTACAGGGATGCCATCTGAGCCCAGGCGGGACGGGTGGACCTGCCCCAGAGCCCATGGTGCCAGGGCAGCAAAGGGGAAGAAGGACTCCATCAGTCAGAAAGCACCCTAAGTGAATGGGTGTCCCACCTTACATCACAGTGACACCATTGAGCTGGCCTTTCATGAACACTAGAATTTTGTGCTCTTACCAAGTCACCCTCTCCTTCAGTCAGGGACCTACTGTGTTTTCCTGCTGTCCTTATGCATGCGAAGAAGCTGGTGTCATGAAAGAAGCTGGTGTCATGAAAGTTTAGCAAAGAAGCTGGTGGCAAAGAAGCTGGTGTCATGCAAAGAAGCTGGTGTCACGAAAGTTTAGGAACTTCTTGTCTGGGGAAGAAGCGATCACGCTGCACTGGGTTTATATACAGGCTTCAGGAGCAAGGTGGGTGTCAACTCTCCACTTGTAAACCTGCCAGGCCTCTCTGCGGTGTGAAGAGAAGAAGGCTTAATGGACTTAAGAAACATTTATTTGTCCACTACTTTGGTAAAATAGCACTGCCTTAGAAAGTACTATTGGATCCACAGCAATATCATAATGAAGACTATTTCACAACATCCTCCAGTTCAATTTTTGAAATAATACTTATTTTAAAACTTGTTACAAAGGCAGTCTGTATTCATTGTAGAAACCTGGAAACAGGCAAAATTCCCAAAGAAGAAAATGGAAGCACCTGTAATTCCACTACCCAAATGCAACCTCTCTTAGCGTATTAGTGATTTAGTGTGTTACCTTCCAATGTTGTTTTCTAAATGCACGTGCACGCATGCACATACACACACACACACACACACACACATATCCAATCACACTTAACATTTTTTTGTGTATCCTCAGTAAAGTTTGACACATAGCAAGCACTCAGTAAATGCTGGTTGAATGGATGACTCTCTGAACCTCCAGTTTCTTTATCTATAACATGAGGATAAGAGTAGTATATACTCCATGGGGCTGTTCTGAGGATTAAATGAAATAAAGGAAGAAAAGTGGGGCGATCTTTCTCCAGCTCCATCAGATAAGAGATCTGACTCCTCCTGCCAGGGCCCCTCATTGGTCACTCAGGACGCCTCCAGCCCTTCCCAACTGCCTGCATCCCATCACCTCCCGTCCCTGCCCCTGTGTGAACGGGCTCACACCCCACGTCCTTGTTATCGTTCTGACTCTTTTCTCCTTTTCATCCTTTCCCTAAGATGGATGCATAGCACAAAGAACTTCCATCTCCCCCACTCCAAACTCCCCTACTGTCAGCTTTTTACCACATTTGCCTTAAATTCCTTATTATCTTTTTTCCTCCCTCTCTCAAAAGACGGACAATGCAGAGATACATTTTTTTTTTTCCAGAACCATTTGAGAGCAAGTTGCAAATAGGATGCCACATCGCCCATTAGTACTTCGGGATGGTTTTATTTAGACAAGGATGCACTCCCACACAATCAAAACAGGAAACTAACACAGACACAATATGACCATGTCATTCACAGCCCTCTTTCCAATTTTGCCCACTTTGCAAACAGTGTCCTTTATAGTGCCAGGGTCCAGAACCACTTGTTTTACTTAGTCACCATGGCTTTCTAGTTTCCTTCATTCAGGAACAATTCTTCAGGCCTTTTGTGACTTCATTATTTTTTATTGTAACACTTCAGTAACCTGGCAGGTGGTTCCTTGTTTGGGGTTTACCGATGTTTTCCTGATGATTAGATTCAGGTTATTCAGCTAGGGCAGGAAAATCACAGAAGTGACGCTGTGTTCTTCTCAGTACCAGGAGGCACGTGGTGCCAACTTGCCTCATGACTAAAGACGTTAAACTTTATCACTTGTTTTAGAAGGTGTCTACCAAGTTTCCCCACCGTAAAGAATTTTGTAAGTATTAATAAGTGACTTATTAGTTGGCATTCTACTGTAAAGTAAATCTTTTCTCTTCCACCTACATATTATTCACTTGTTTGTTTATATCACCATGACCTCCTGGATTCCTTTTTTATCCAGTTGAATACAGTCTAATATTGTCTTTATTTTGATGCACAAATTGTCCCAGATTTATCTGTGGGAGTCCCTTCAAGTTGGATCCTATGTCCTTTTGCTATGCTTTCCTATCCTTTTTTGAGCACTTTCTTACTTTCTGGCACAGAAGGTTCCAACTTCTGCACAGAAAAAAAAAAAAACTATCTGTAAAATGAAAAGGCAGCCTATGGAATGGGAGAAAATATGTGGAAACCACGAATCCCATAATGGGTTTATATCCAGAATACACAAGAAACTCATTCAACTCAATAGCAAAAAAAAACACAAAAAACCCCAATTTAAAAATGGGTGAAGGACCTAAATAGACATTTTTTTCAAAGAAGACATACAAATCTCCAACAACATGAAAAAGTGCTCAACATAACTAATCATCCAGGAAATGCAAGTCAGAACTACAGTGAGATATCACCTCACATCTGTTAGGATGTCTGTTATCAAAAAGACAAGAGATTACAAGTGTTGAGGATGTAGAGAAAAGGGGACCCTTGTGCACTGTTGGTGGGAATGTAAATTGGTGCAGCCACTGTGGAGAACAGTATGGAGGTTCCTCAAGAAATTAAAAATAGAGCTACCATATGACCCAGCAATCCCACTTCTGGGTATGCAGTATATCCAAATGAAACTAAGTCATTATCTCAAAGAGATAAATGTTCTCCCATGTTCACTGCAGCATTACTCACAATAACCAAGGTATGGAAACAACCTAAGTGTCTGTTGACAGATGAATGGGAAAAATTGAATGACCAAAAGCAGAAATCCCATTCTAAGGTTTTAAAAAAATTTTTTTAAACATACATTTATTTATTTATTTATTTTTCAGGCTGAGTTGGGTCTTTGTTGCTCTGCACGGGCTTTCTCTAGTTGCAGCAAGCGGGGGTTACTCTTCATTGCAGTGCGCAGGCTTTTCATTGTGGTGGCTTCTCTTGTTGCGGAGCACAGGCTCTAGGCGTGTGGGCTTCAGTAGTTGCTGCAGACGGGTTCAGTAGTTGCGGCGCTCAGGCCCTAGAGAGTGCGGGCTTCAGTAGTTGTGGCGCACGGGCTTAGTTGCTCCGTGGCATGTGGGATCTCCCCAGACCAGGGCTCGAACCTGTGTCCCCTGCATTGGCAGGCAGATTCTTAACCACTGCACCACTAGGGAAGTCCCCATTCTAAGGTTTTTAATGAATATCATTTTCTATTTTTGTTCCCCCATTTTTATTGTGGTAAAATACACATAAAATGTACCATCTTAACCATAAGGTTACAGTTCAGTGGTATTAAGCTGTGCAGCCGTCACCACCATCCATCTCCAGATCTCCATCTTCTCACCTTGTAAAACTGCAGTTGCTTACCCATTAAACAATAACTTCCCATTCCTTCCTCCTCCCAGGTCCTCATTTTTGTGGAATCATACAATATATGTCCTTTTGTGACTGGCCCTTTCACTTATGTTCTCAAGGTTTATCCATGTTGTAGCATTTGTCAGATATTCCTTCTGTTTAAAGCTCTGTAGTGTTCCATTGTGTGGATATACAGCATTTCGCTTATCCATTCATTCATTGATGGACACTTGAGTTGCTTCCATGTTTTAGCTAATGTGAATAATGCTGCTGTGAACATCAATGTACAGATATTTCTTCAAGACCCTGCTTTCAGTTCTTTAGGGTATACACCCAGAAGTGAAAATGCTGGATCATACTGTAATTCTATTTCATTTTCTTTTTATGTGTTCAAATTATTTATTGTTTTGTGTAGTATTTTTAACTTAGGTAAATGGTATCTGTTCCTTATTTTTCAACATAGCACTTGGTTTGCATGCCCATCCATGTTGCTATGTAGAACATCCAATCCATATCTTTTCCCTGCTGCACAGTACTGCACAGAGTATATCTTCCATGTTTTACTTGTCTGCTCTCCCAAGGCTGGACACCAAGATTTCTTCCAACCCTCTGCTCTTACAAATAAAGCTGCGATAGTCTCATACAGAGTTGGCCTGAAAAAGGGCATGTAAGTGAGTTCAGTCTATATCGCCACTAACTGCATGCAGGTTCCTTGTAACCACTTGGTGTTATACTGCTTTCTAATCTTTGCTAGTCTAACAAAGTGACAGAGTTGTTTCATTGTATATTTCTCTGAATACTGATGAGTTAGGACATCTGTTTACATACTTGGTAGGCTTTTGAGATTCTTCTTGAAATTACTTGTTCTTATCTTTGATCATTTTGTATTGCATTTGCTGTCATTTCTTGTTGACTTGCAAAACATCTTTGTATATTCTGGATTTTAATTTCTTTATGCTTTAGACATTGCAAATGGCTTCTATCATAGTTTCAGCTGTATATTATCAATACTTTATGTATAGTTTCCTTTGTTGAATAGAAATCCTTCACCTTGGTGTAATGAAACTCATCAAGTTTTGTCTTTTGGTATACGCTCTTTAAATTGTAGTTTAAAGGTTCCTTTCCAACCTGGAGGTACTGGTGTTTTCCCAGGTTGTCCTGTATTTTCTTCTCTTGGCAGAAGAGTACTCCATCTCTTATTGAGGCCTTTAATCATGTGTGTGACTGAGGCAAATCACTTCACATCTCAGAAAGAGAAGGTACCCAAAAGTTTAATGAGATTTTTTTATGTATCATTCAGGGTTTCATCAAAGAAATGACATATGAGATAAGGCCATGGCTCCCAAACTGTGGACTGAGACACCCCAGGGGCTTCAATGAATTCACAAGAGTGCTATGGAATATTTCCAATTTT